CTGGAATTATGAATTCCATAAATCACTGTGCATAAAATTTTACCATTTTCAAAAAGTATTTACAAACAGTTAAACCAAGGTTCCTTGGCGTGTAACATTAGCTCATCAAGGTAGCTTAAGTGACTCTATGCAAGTTGAAAGGCCTCATAACAAAGAAGGCTTAACACTATTCCACAACAAAAAATAGAAGCTTATGCTTATGAACAAAAATGGCCCATTTAGGGGCACCCCAGCAGACTTAGCAACAAAAATGATTAATTTCTATCCTAGTACAGTTTTGTGATGTTCTTAACAGTTTGCTATACAGACTTATAAATTTATAATTTATAGTATTTTCTAATACAAATTTTCAGCATGTTTTCCAGATTTTCTCACCAATAAGCAGCCTCCTAACCCTAATCCCAACCTAACCCCATGATTTGTTGGGAGAAAAGATGTAGTTTGTGTCCCCACATTTTCAATAACAAATATCCTTAAAATATGGGACCAAGTCTGGATAATCAAAAATTATGGATAATCAAGTTTAAGATAACAAAGGTTTGAAATTATCAGTGTTATCATATTAGGTGCTTATGATATGCCTTACCTATATCACTAAGGATACTGTCACTATCACTGTCACTGTCATCATCATTATCATCATCATCGTCCTTGTCCGAATCGCCGACACTTTTGTTGTTGTCATACGTGAAGCCAATGGTAGCTTTAGCTTGACTCCTGTACCATCATCAAGAAATGGAGTTATTCTCGTAGATAACTGACAGTGAAATATTACACAGCATTCAAACTTTCATGTTTCTTTATACCCCCAAAAAATTTGTTTAAACTTTAAGGTGTCTGGTAAATTTTTTTTTCTTGTCATGGCCACCAAAAAGGTTACAGCTTGGAGAAATAAGTAGAAGTAAATTAATTACATTTTCTCCATGCACTACTTTCAACAATATTCATATTCTCCCTACTGTTCTCTGTACATTTACTAAGGTGCTGACAAGGAGAATTTGTCTAACAATCAAGAGTTTCTTTAGTTGGTGATCATTTCTTTTATTCTCATGACATTAATGTGTGATTCAGTGGTGATATTGGAAGGAGAAATTAGATGCTAATCAGTCTTAGGGGTTAAAGGGTTAAACAGTCAGGACAGCAATGCCAAAGAAGGGGTCAATTAAAAATGAGTTTATAAATTTAGAACAAATAGCAGGATGTGTTTACTGTCTTTTATCACACTACACCTCAACTTAGTATAATTTATGTCTACAATGATGAGTTCCAAATGAAAACCTAAATAGTTTTCCATTCTCAGAACATGCAAATTTTGGTGATTTCACATTATTATTTTGCAGAGGAAGGCTTCCAGATGTTTCACATTATTATTTTGCAGAGGAAGGCTTCCATATGTATATACATATGTTTGTGCTGAGCTATTTTTCTGCCCCTAGATCTTTTGCTTCACTACCTCCTCATTGCAGTTGCTGTCACAATTTCCTTACGGTCTCCAATATAAATACAGATTACTTTAAACAGAACTCCACTCCTCTTCAGATTTTAAGCTGTGTTGCTTACTTTTCTTTGTCTTTTTTCTCATCTGCTTTCTTGGCTCCATACATTTCTTCTATTTCCAACTGCCGAAGATAAGACTCCTCTGAGGCTAAAAAAAATGAAATATCGAAAAATTCACCACAAGCTTCCTATTTCATACTCTCTTGGTCACTGGGCTGTGCATTCTTTCTTGCAGGGTGATAACTGACTTACTGACCTCCACTGTAATCTATCATTACCAATGTTCTGTATCTTTCATAATTTAATCTGTTTTCCTCTGGATCAGTCTCCATCAAGGCTCTAAGAAAAACAATAGTGCGCAATCTTTTCAGTATTGTCATATTTGCAACTGATCCAATAGACTTCAGTCAATATGTTTAGACGCAAGTCAAGAGAACAAGGTCTAGAATTTTGAGAGAAGGCATACTGGTAACATCCTGAGAGAACAAATGGAAAATAGCAGAAAAACAAACAAAACTTTCTTTCAAGGCTGAACTTTCTTTGCTTGGCTTTGGATCCTTTTTCAGTGTCAGCATGAATTTTTAAGTTTTGAAACAAGACTGCCAAAGAATAGAAGTGAAGGAGCCAGTATCTGCCTTAACCCTTTAACTCCCAAGATCTCATCGGTTATTCTCCTCACTTTCTGCCTCACAATTCATATGATGCTAGTTTGGAGAATTTGGAATTGGATCCACCAATAATTGATATTTTTCTTTATTCTCATTACTTGTCTGCTTGATATTGTACTGATAGTGTAAGAAGAAATTCTGTCTTGGTCACAACCGGGACTTAGAGGTGTAAAGGCATTCATATCATAATTTTTTTTTTCTTGGTTGACACAGATCTCATTTCTGTCGATAATTTGTGCACCTACCCAATAGAACTTGATGATGGTTGTTCTGGGATAATATCAAGGTGGGCTCGAACATCAAACCTGAAAACGAAAGACCAACACTTTTCACTTCTACATCATTTTTTTGCTCATTTAACAACTAAATTATTCAGTATACACTATTAAATTGACTTAAGACACTGATGATGCAAATTTTAATTATACTACTGACACAGATGTAAAATGTTTAGCATACCTAAACTATCAACTTACGATACATTACTTAGAATTCATCATTTACAATACACAGACTTGACATTTTAATATTTCACTTAAAGTATATTACTGTTAACCCTTTCCTTTGATAAGATCTCATTACTAATTCACCCTACTGTTTGCCAGACAATTATTTTGATGTGAGTTTGAAGAATTTGTTATTGGATCAACTAATAATCCCCTAATTGATATTGTTCTCTATTCTCATTACTTGTCGCCTTGATGTTGTATTGATAGTGTAAAGAGAATTTCTGTTATGCCATATTGGTTGTTCATGTGAGTAGAAAGGTTAACTGAAGTCCTCTTTCACACTCCATATTATAGCATCACATTTCTTTTGGAAATTTTATCTTTAAACCCTTTAACTCCTAAGAGTGACTAGCTACTAAATTCTCCTCATGGTTTCACCTTTAACTCAAATATAAATGTTGAGAGAATAAAGGAAAATATCTCCAATTTAGGAAGCTCCTGATTATCAAAAAAATTCTCCTTGTCAGTACCACAGGAAATGTGAGGAGAATATGCATACTGATACTAGGGTGTAAAGGGTTAAGTAATGCAATACCTGTCAATCATGTTATTTGAGTCACCTTGCCATGGCATCCTGGAGAAATAAAAAAAATTAAAAATAGAAAAATAATTTCTTTAATCAAAATGTAATAATAAATTACTTAACCCTTTAAATCCCATTAGTGACCAAGACAGAATTTCTCCTTACACTATCAGTACAATGTCAAGCAGACAAGTGATGAGAATAAAGAAAAATATCAGTTAGGTGATTATTGGTCGATTCAATTCCAAATTCTCAAAACTAACATCATATGAACTGTATGACAGACAGTAAGGAGAATTACTGATGAGATCTTGGGAGTTAAAGGGTTAAGTGCAAAATACAAAGAGCTGATGATCAGCACACATGCATAAGCCATTTTTTGGGAGTCTTAGCTTGCCTAACCATTGCAAGCTTATATATGACCAAAATAAAATTTGTCTGTGTTAACTTTCTCATCAGTTGTAGCTTTCTACTTTATTCGATTCACAATTCTTGTGAGTCTTTTAATCATAGTCCATTAATGCACTTTTATTTCTGGTTGTTGCTTATGGCTTCTCTGCCACCAAAAAAGTCTGTATTCGCAAGGTATTTAATAATCATTCATTCTCACATTACAGTTTTCCCATCTCCTGCTGATGACAACTGTGGATCAATATGGATTTTATATTTTTGTCCATATACTCTCAGGAACTGAGTAGGATCTTGTTTCTGAATAAATATAATAAAGAGAAAAAAATTGACACTATTGCTAAGTAATCATCCAGCTGGATTTTGTTTATAGTTCTGAGAGGATCTGTAGTAAACTGTCTTCTCTACCCCATCTAGGTTATAAGCCAATGAAGCCCTGCAAATCAGGGGGGAACCTTTGCTGGCTGCCAGCTTTTGTATGTATTCCCTCCAAACAACTAGAGTACATTATTTTTTGGAACTCACAGGTTTTCTCACTTGAACCTATGTGTAAAAGAAATTCAGCCCAATGGGAGCGCCAGACAAATGATAGGAATAACAAGCTAAGAACAATGACAAACATTTCAGAATTTGAAATCCTTTCATGCGTCTCAAAGCCCGCTTTTACTTCCAAGATTTGTTTGAAAATCCCTCCTTCTTTATCTTAATTGTTGTAAGATGAGGGAATTTGGTGTTAAATCTAAATAGCACCTTTTGGCTGATAGGTTTGTCTGCCCTCATCGCCTATATGCTGGTAATGAATTGATTTCATGGGGAGAAGTTACAAGCTAATTAATCCCTTCATGATACTATAGGGTACATCCTGCAGGTTGGGGTATGGCGGAGGTGGGATACGGATTCAAAATCAAAAGGGTTTTCGGAATCAATCTCGCCCTGTCTGGTTGTCCGAAACCTCGTATTCATCGCCTTAGAATCTTGTTATAAAGTAAAATCATAAACATGAAGGTGTAATCCAACCATCCTTTCGTAGAAAGCTCTTCTTCGCTCTGCCCTTTTGCGGTAATCTACCATCATTCCGCGCAATTTCTTCTCTTGCCTTCTCGCTTCGTGCCACATTTTCAACGATTTGTCTCCAATAGAAAGTTTACCCAAATAATACTTAAATCTTTACAAAGTCACTCTGGAGCATTCCCATCCTTGGGACTCCCGTTTCCTACGGGAAAATGTGGCAAATGCTATAATCCAAACTGTACTCTCACCGTTTTTGCACTGTTTTTAAGCTCTATTTTTTGGTCAGCAGATCTTTGTATCAGCGCACACTCAGTAAAAAGATAAGAAAGAGCGGTAATTTCGTTTCGACAATTCACTTTCTAGGGATCGGTAGGTAGATCACAATTAGTTTTCTTTCATGAAAAGGTCTTCATCTTATCCATGATTAGGAAATTTACCACATAATCATGTTTTCCAAGTGTTGAAAATCTCTAATTAGGCCTATATTGGTTGTTTTTGAGATGATTTTGTTGTATAGACTCATATTTGAAAAAGCCCCAAGGAGGGCTGCCCGCTAATGCTCGGGTAAATTATTAGATTGATCACGCAGCACACGCGTGGTCGGACAGAGATCACGCGGTTGCCCTCGACTGAGTGTGATGGCGTTGGAATGCGAAAATAGCGCGTCTAGTTAATGGAAGCTTGGCGTTATACGGCGTTAAACGCGCACTTTTCCAATCTTCAACAGAAGCTGTTGTCGACAATGCAACCTGCCAAGTAAGTTTTCATCTCCTTGGTCTAAAATATTACGAAACAGAGCAAAATAGCGCAGACCATCGCGTTTCTCGGTTTGGCACGTATTCAGATACACGTAACGGCTTCGACAACACGGAGGTACACGTTCGCTTTTCTATTTTTGACATAAGTAGTGCAACTTTTGAGATTCGCAGATGGTTTTTGGTATGAATGAGGCAAGATAGCGGCGAGGCTTTTTCTGGCGTGTTGAAAATTTAAGTGAATTGATTAAGATTCACCTTAGATCGCATTACTGTCTGCGATCATGAAGTCTTGCATGCGCGCAAACCGAGTTGAAGGCTGTTAGGCTTACGCAGAGTCTCGCGAGACTCCTGAATGAAAATTTAATTTCAGAAAATTCATCGCTGAATGGAACCACTCAAATCTTGTGGTGTAAAAAAATCGAACATTTTCTATGCTAGAATATGTCATCTGAAAACTTGTCACTTATCTTGAGTTGTACGCGACAAGTGCCATGCCTTTGAACGATGGGGTGGGGGCGGCTGGGGGGGGGAGGGGAGGAAGAGGTAAGGTAATTGATCAGCATTAAAAAAAAAGCTACCAGCATTGTCACATAGTGATTGCTAGCCAAAAATCCTGCACACTCTGGATTCAAGAATTTCCTACAGCAGGCTCATATCATAATCAATGCAACACAAGCAATTCTTTACTGACAAGAAACTTAGAGGCCTTGTGGAAAAGAACCCAGATTCAGGTCTGGAAGGGGTCTGGTTCTTTTTATTGGGCAAAAACACCTGTGCTGCAGCCCAACTAACTTGCATGTGCTTGCAGGGTAATTTTAGAACTACACAATTCTCACCAGCTGTGACCAACATGCATCTTCTCCTTACAATATCAATATATTTTCCCACAAGCAGGTAATGAGAACAAACCAACATATCTGTTAGAGGATGTTACCTCTCATTGAATGTAATGGTCAGACAAATGTAAGCAATACAGTTGTTAGAAATATTTCAAATGATGTTTTAACCCTGTAACTCCCAAGATCTCATTAGTAATTCTCCTTAGAGTCTACCATACAGTTCTTGCGATGTTAATTTGGAGAATTTTGTATTGGATCAACTTATAATCCCCTAATTGATATTTTACTTTATTCTCATCACTTGTCTGCTTGATATTGTATTGATATTGTGAGGAGAAATTCTGTCTTGGTCACTTATGGGAGTTAAAGGGTTAATGTTGTCAACTAATCATTTGTTTCTCACAGGGATAAAAACTCAGATACTATGGAACCAATGGAGGCTGACCTCTACAACAACAATGTAACCAATTCAAATTCTGTTCGTAAAAGAAAAGCAACAGATGGACAGCAAAGTGATGTTTTAGTGGTAAGGCTACAATGTTAGGTCCATTAAAAGAGGCCTTTGCTTTGTTTCAAAATTGTAAGCCATTTGATCAGACATTTCCTCTGTTAGGATTCTTTTTTACAATAGTTCTGAAATGTATATCATTTGTAAAGCAATATGTAAATGAAAATATCATCTGGAATTATGGAAAAATATCTTTGTGTTTTTAATGAAAGACCTCATGAACTATCAGTTGAACCAAACTCCTTGTTGTAATATACTGTTCTTCATTTTCTTTGGTAATTTTAGTCTGGGAGGTTCTACTGTGCTATTTTTTTTTTACTTGTAACATAATAAAAAATTTAATTCAAATTAGAATTAAGTCCTTGAATAAGACACATGAAATGAGATTAAAAATAACTTGTTTTGGGTCTATTAAATCATAGATTTTCAGAATACGAACAACGATGATTATTAATCAGGTGAAACTCATAAAGATCATTTTGTTATCATAAAAACAATAATTACCTCTCTCCCCCTCTACAATTGAACTTAATTTAACTAGAACATTAACAATATTTTTAGGAACCAATTAGCTAATTAAATCTTCTACAACTCTTAAAATTTCAGAAGAAACAAGCATTGAACATGATGACCTGAAGCAGATGTCTCAGTAACAGTTCTAACATATACATCCTCAAGTCCTAGATGAATTTAAAAACATTTTATAAAGTCCATTTTACACATGCAGATCACTTTTCCCTTATGATGATTAGAGGAAAAAAAGCATTCTTTAGCTGCAAGCTTGTAAAATAGTGATACAAACTTAGAAATTTAATTAACATATGAAATATTTTGAGTGTAGTTATACTAAATATTTGCTGTTAACTCTAAAACTATACTTCTGCAAAAGTCTTTGTTCCTTGACGTAAACAGAAAAAATTAACTGATATTATGACGTTTTCGCAAGTAGATTTTTTGAGACAAGCAACATAGGGTTCTCCTGCGTTGTATCTCCTAAACTTGTCATTAAAAATGACTTTTTTTTCTTTCAAACTTTAAGATTAAGATTTAGCAGCCTTTTCTAAAAATTAACTAATGTTATGACGTTTTCATAAGTAGTTTTTTTGAGACAAGCAGCTTAGGGTTCTCCTGTGTTATAACTCCTAAACTTGTCATTAAAAACAACTTTTTCTTTTAAACTCTAACATTAAGATTTAGCTGCCCTTTCTATCAGTTTTTACCCTTTTTTACCCAGATGTAAACCTCTAATTTCCATGGTGAGAAAAATATGTTTCTATTTTTGAAGTCTGTTTGACAAAAATATTTTTGCAAATGACATTTTCATTGCAGTTGTTTTATAGTCTTGAAATAGACAATTCAAATGTAGACACACATACGTGTTTGGAGACTTTCTCAACATCATATCTTTAGTTACTGTGTGGGAGTGATTTGAAACCTTTATCTCACTCTTAAACAGGAGTCAACAACTGTATCTTGGTTTCACTTTAAAAAGTAGGACTAAGAAATCAAACCTAACAGTCTTTCATTGTTATCGTACATTACATTTTTTAAGCAGTATGATGTAATCTTGGTGTGTAAACAATAAAAGACTTGTGAATAATTTTTAAGTTCTTTATAGCAAGTTTTGGGTTATGGGAAACACTAAGATAAGGGAACGTAGCTTAGACAAATGTTTCAATGTTTATGGAGATCTACTTTCCAGTAATGTGCCAACTAATATGGGCCAACTTATTCAAAGCCTCAATATCCTTCCCCCTTGGGCATTTGAGTGTTGTCTGAGCCCAGGTGATAGGGAATTGGATCCTTGTCTGGATGGGGTGGGAAAATGAAATTGGTGGAATACAGGTGTTCAAAATCAGACATGTAAATCAAGTGAGGCCAGGTATACCAAAATAATTTAGTTCCGTTTTCCGAGCTTTTGCTGATCTGCAGCATCATCAGGGAATGATGATCATTCCCTGATGATGCCATAGATTGGCAAAAGCTCGGAAAACTAAACTAAATTATCGTAGCATACCTGGCCTCACTTGATTTACACATCTGACTTTATAACACTATGCTACTCAAGGACAACATCCAACACAGGTGTTTAAATTTAATTCTGGAGAAGTTTAAAGATAAAGTGTCTGCTTCCATGAGCAAATAGCATTGAAGATGCTTAAAAGCAAGAAATCAGCAAATTCTTCAACATTTGTTGATCACACAAAGAATTATTCAAAACGTGCATTTAAATGAAGCATTTTAATGCAGTTCTGGCCTTAGGGCGGGAATTTATACAAAACTAATTTTCAAACATTCAGTTTCCCAGGGAGAAAGGGATGTTAAAGTTTTCAAATCAATCAACAGCTAATTCACAGCTTCTTACGTAGGGAGCTATGAAGCTTGCATTTGCAAAGTGGTGGTGAAAAACAGAGACATTTGGCAGACAAGTATCAAAAGGGAGGGAGACTTAATTTCAACTATAAACACCTCCCCATTTAAATATGTACTTCACCATTTTGATGTGTACTTGAAATTTTAGGTATCTTAGTTCCTGAATGAACCAATAAGATCTCAAATACATTTTTAATTAGTTCTTTGGGATATAAGTTACTGTGTCAACCAATCAGATTTGGTTTGTAATATGAAACTTACTCTTCAGCAACTAAGTTCCTCAACAAACCAATGACATGGAAGAATATAGGTCAGGTCATTTCTAAATTAAGGTTTGCCTGTTTTATTTCTGTCAACAACAAATAAAACAGACAACAATAGATGGGGTATTTCTGCGTTAAGAGCAGTAATGTTTCACCATAAATTGGGTGCTATCTGTACTAAATTATTCTTCGAGGTTGTACTAGGATAAAGTAACTGGGACCATTTAGACTATTTTAGAGAGAAAAAGGACAAACTTCTATTATTGTGAAATTGTTGGGATGTGCAGCAAACACACTGTGTCAATACATTTTAAATGTTCTTGAAGAAAGTACATATTGATTTTTCATTGAATCTGTAATTTTTGAAATGTAGAAATTCAGTTGAAGTGTGGAAGGGTCTGGAAATACATGTGTCAGTGACTGTCTATTCTTCATTTCTTAAGATGTTTTCTCTAAGAATTTCTAATTCGATCAAATGATATCCCTTTATGGATATATTTCACTCTTTTCTTGTTACCTTCTACTTGACTAGGTATTGCTACTTTAAGGAGAAATTTCTTTTTGGTCGGCATTGGAGATCAAAGGATTGAAAAACATGTTATGAATGTTTGGTTGCTGCTAGTGTCGTGGTACAGAAAGTTGAAGTTAAAATTGCACAGCAGTGATAGGACATCCCACTGATTGTATGCCAATTACAAATAAAAGACACATTAAGAACCAATCGTAATCAAGGATTTCATCACATTATGAATTAATGAATAACAGTGTCACTTTCTTTGTTTGTAGGAGAAAGGTGTAAAATTTGACAGGCCCTGTGTATGGGCAAATGGCTCTTGTCTGAAATTAGATGTGTACACCCAGACAGATTCTTCATTTGTGTCAGACAACTACACAAAATCTCTGGTAAGAGACGAGGCAGTTATGGATTACTTTTGATTTGTTTTATTGTTAAATGCAGGAAACTGCTACAATTAACCAATCAATGGTTGTCTATACTCTTACCAACAATGATATTCCTAATCACAGTGGTCAAAATGTTGTTGACCACAGTTTTTTACCACAATATCGACATCAAATAAGATAATTCTCTCAGTGCAAGACCATTGCTTGATGTAGGCAGTGTTACCTGTACATTTACCGACAACAGCAAATTGGCCAAATCAGATAATGCAACATTACTGCTTTAATTGTGTTAAAAAGGGAAATGTTTTGTGAAGGAAATTTTATCAACAAGTGGTTTTCAATCTGACTTAAGGGAGCTATACCTTAGTCTTTTAACTCTCAAGATCTGTTTGTTAATTCTCCCCTCCAGCTGCTACACATTTTGTTGTAAATACGTTAGGAGAATTTGGTGCTAGATCATGATAAAAACTTCTACCTGATAAGTTTGCATATTCTCACTACCTGTTTGTTGAATGAGTCAGGGATATTAAAGGGAGAAGTTACTTGTTAATCACTTCTGGGAGTTAAAGGGTATAGCAGCACTGGTATTATATCTGTGGTTATGTGGATAGCTTATGTCTTGATCTCCATTGTGATGTTTTTTTTTTCTCTTTTTAGTAGTTTATTTTAGTAGTTTATCATATTGTCTACCTCGATTAGTCTTTTGTCAGTGAAATGGTCCAAGCCAACAGTAAAAGGCTGGAAAATATTGAAAAGTTCCTGGAGGCCTTAGACTGTAAGATTGAAAGTTTTCTGTCTGGTGAATCAACACGAGAAACACCAAGAAAGAAGGGCCACGTTCAAGACTCGTTTAGAAAGACGGAGGTGGGTCATTGAACACGTTTGATTGATTGATTGTGTCTGGGAAATTGTACAGGTTTTATTTATGAATAAACTTCTTACATTCTCTGAGTTTTTCTAACTTAATTCTCTGCAGGAGTCAAAAGTAATCAGAGGAAATTACCATCTTACTTATTCGGTTTACTTGCGGGACAGGTGCCACGTATTAGGGAGTTAAAAAAAACCACGAAGTCAACGGCAACGGGAACGTCATTAAACGAAAGGTTTAGTGATCAGAACAATGGCTGCACACAAGCGTTATAAATCTTTGCAAATTTCTTTGTGTCCTCTGCAAAACTTTGCCTTGTCTGAAGAACGCGAACGACGACGGCTAATTTTTTTTAAATTTCTATGCCCAATTCAACGCTGTATTCCATGTTCAGTTTCGAAATAGTTTTGACAGTGAGAAACAAACTAAATGACTTTACAGTATCGCGAGATTTGTAGGTAAAATATATTTTAAATTTTTAACCGACATTGTCCACGGCGTCGCCGTTGTCGCTTCTCAAACTCCCTATTAACTTGGCGTAGTTTATTGTAGGATTCCCTGTGACTCAGTGGTAGAGCATAGCAACAGGAAATGCGGAGGCGTGGGACTCTTTCTCGTGGAGGCTAATATTTTTGTTTTCCTTCCATTTTGTTAGACGGCACATACACCTGTATTAATTCATCTTCCAGTAAAATATAAGTAAACACTAATCAACACTTAAACCCCAATATCACTATACATTTCTTTATACTGTTCTCTGTTACAATTTTTAAGGTGCTGACGGGGAGAATTTGTTTAACAATCAAGAGCTTCTTTAGATGGTGATCATTTCCTTTATTCTCACGACCTTAATGTTTGATTCAGGGGTGATATTGTAAGGAGAAATTAGATGCTGGTCAATTAGTTACTCCACCATACTTCTCTTATACAAATATAGCAAAATGAGCGCATAAGTTGAAATGTTGTTTCTCAGATGAAAGTACGAGAGCCTCCAATACCTGAGGGAGACAGTGATATGTCTGTGCTCACAGACAGGAGCAGTTCACTTACCACTGCAGTAGGGAACCCCAGGGACACCAGTATGTCAAGTCCCGCGGACAGCACCAAGTCACCCGGCATGTGCTTGTCTCCTGGTGTGAGCTCAAATCATGCAAGCTCCCCGGTCACAACTCACTCATTCGTTGCATGGAATCAAGGTTACCATCAAGGCTTCGATACCATGGCAAAGCAAATCCCACAGGAAGGGCGGACACCAATCGTAAGGCAAGGGGCTGAATCAGTGGCAAGGCCTGTCATCATGGCGACAAAACCGGTACCAGTCTCCAGGGAGACAGAAGCAGATCATTCATTAGGTGACGAGGAAGGGCTGGTGCCAGTCATAGTGTCACTTGGAGATAATCCACCCTCTCATAGAGACAAAAAATGTGTGTCAACGGAAGTGCCTCTAAAAGATATCATAAACGGTGCTCCGTGCGCTATGGAAGGTATACAAAATTTTCTTAAATTTTCTTAACCCCTTTACTCTACACATCTCAATATCAATGCTCTGCACTGCTGGTTAGGAGAACTGCCTAGGCCTGGTCATCTTTGTTTTTTGTTCTTGTGCAAGAGACTTTACCTTCAAAATCTTTACCCTTACCTGTCTGGGAGACCCAAGGGGGAGGGTACCTGCACTGGAAAAGTCCTCCTTTCAAGGGGAGTGACAACACTCAATTAATCCTACGGAGAGATGGGTCATTATTGTCGTGTTCAGACTTAACTCGCTTGATTTGTTGTCCACAGGTCTGGAAAACATATCGTATTCTCGCGGCTGTTGGCTTGGAGACAGGAGCAACCCTCAGTCTCGTGTGTGGTACTGTGGCAATCCCAAGATTCTAGGACGCGCCGAGGCTTCAGGATCAAATCCCGCCAAACTGTCTCTCAATTTGCTGGAGGCGTTTTTTGTTCGGGACGAGATGGCTGCGTCAAATATCAACGGAGCACGTGGCAGAGAGTTGCTAGATCCAATAAAAATAAAGGGAATTCAAGGTTAGTTGTGAACTCTGGGGGTGGTGGAAGGGGGCTGAGCGAAGCTATGTCTTGATTTGTGTATCGGAAAAATTAGGCAAAGTTCGTCATTTCTTATTTCTTTCAGTCTTCCCCATTCCCAGCCATACTTGTTTTCTTTTGGTTTTTTGACAGCTTTTTTGCGTTCCTTCATCACACCGAACTAAGAAAGATTGAAAGCTTTCTGTTCCTCACTCTCTTTTAAGTTGAATTAACTTTTCGCGTCTCCAAAAACGTTTTGGAAAATGTGACGTGACGCATTTACGTTAGTCAGGTTTATTGCCAGCACAGGAGATGCTTCACCATTTTTGTCCCTCTTTGATTAACATTGTCAATCTTTTTTTGGTGTTTTCATCTTATTATTTGTTTATTTCTCTCTAGCTCACGTAAACTACAAGTTTCCAATTAGCGCCGAGAAAGAAGAGCTGCGATGGCAGTTTCTGAAGCCAAGGATTGATAGCAAATGCCGTGCACAGCGCCGTTTACAGCGAGAAGAACAATTGAAACGTATGAATATGCCCCGTGTGGTTACCGCCGAGCGGACTGCCCGTTCCCGTGTACCCCGGCTTGATCCCAAGGAAAAAGACCAGTTGCTGTACGGCTACAACAGAAACATACCGAATCTCGGGCTCGGTACACCTCGGGCGCAAGTTGCCGCTTTGGATGATCAAGGGACTGGAGTGGATGTTGGTAATAGCCAATTGAGTGGTGAGAATGGTTTCAGCCAGTTACAAGCCAATGAAGCAATCGTGGAAATTTCTGGAATCCCTGTGACAGTTAATGAATTGAACCGATAAGTGGAGTACAGCCTCAGCTGAAATTTCTGGGTTTCTCACATCTGTAGTGAAGTGAACGGACCAAAGGGGGTTTTGTTTTAGAAGAGCCCGCGAAATTTACATCTTGAAGGAACCGGTTACGAAGCCTTTGGCGGTAAAATTTGATCAAGTTAGTAGAATTTTTGTTACAAATCCCTCTCGTTTTGAGAAGGAAAATGGAGTTTGCAACAAGAAAAGAAATATTAAAAGAGATAATCTTTACCAAGCTAAGGGATTGATATGTATCGTAACAAAATTAGCGAAACTCAACCACGCCATTTTTCTATTCGTAGCCGTAAATTTTATAAAGAGATCGCCACATGTATATTTGTAATAATTAGAAATACGTGTAACACCAATTTTTTTTATTATTATTAAAGTAACCTGCAAAACAGGTGTAATTTTTCTGAGGCAAGTGCGAGGCACGTGCGAGGGGAGAAGCCCAAAAAAGATGTAATCGAAGTACCCAGCCCCTCTCTTCCATGTTACCTCAAGACCAACAAAATGGCGGAAGTGGTTGTCTGACGTCACCATCAGGGATTCCTTAGACACGATAAGAAAATTAATGAGCTTTATAAACTCCTCATTAACAAACCTAACTTCCATTATTATACTTTAGAAACAAGCAAAGTCATTGGAAGGTGAACATTCAGTTGTACAACACAATAAAAGGAAAGTTGATTTTCGAAAGCACATAATTGTTGGTGCGTTTTTAAAATAGTTTTCCTTCCGGCATGTGTTAGAGGCCTTAAGGAAGTGATTCATGAAAGCAATGTTACGTTTCTCAATAGAGCACGTTTAGAAAGGCAAGAAACCGAAAAAAAAAACGTTCATTTATTCTAACATTCCTAAGTCGCTTTTCGTTTGGAACGCCTAGCAACCGGTTGCTTTGCCAAGGAACGGTGGAATTGCGATGTCATAAGTGCTCAAATGTTTACTCTCTTTTTGGCGTAGAGAACAAAGTTAACAAAGAAATCTGTCATCGAAAGTATCATATAAGTCGGAACTAGATTGTTGAACAACGAAGCGATTTTGATTTATATAAATTGGACTTTCCGAACATCATCAGAGTTAAAGAGACCATCGTTACGACTTTCTTTTCACACGTGTGTTGTCTGTCTGATTTCCTTTTCAAAAAAGGAAAAGGCTGTTTGTTTTTCTGTCCTTCTTAGATGGATTTTGATACCGTCGTGTATCAAAACAGTCACTACTTTTCAAACAGGTGGTATTTTCTAAAAAACAACCTGTCATTAAATCTCCTATTTTTGCCACACGCCAGGCATTCGACTGATTAACGGAAAATTAACGGAAAAATTCCATTTGCGTCGAGACTCGAATGTAACCCAGCGCAAGATCGTTAAACTCCGAAACCAATATAAATCGCCCCGATCGACGAACTTCACAAGAGGTTTTGACTGTAATTCCCACAGGCCATTTCACAGTTCATTTAGTTTTTAGTCAAAGTGACAAGAAATGTAACGATTGATGCGTTCAAATCCCTCGAGGAATTAATTTGTTGTAAAGTAAAGCTCGGACAAACAGAATGAGTCTCATGAAGGCTGATTTTCCCACGCTTTTCTGTTTACGGACTCCGTGAACTGAGCTTATGGCCCACGTGTTCAGAGCTCCCCCGCTGGCAATAATACAAACCTGCTTTGCCCTCACTCTACCCGTTACCAACGAGAATGACTCAAAAATCAGGCTGGTGTTATGTTCTCTGTTTCAAGGTGCTTGGACTGCATTGCTATACACCGTCGCGTTTCCTGTTTTGTTCCATGTAACTCTAAACATTCCCTAATCCCATCCATTTGAGTGCATACGCATTCGAACAATCCGCATAGCTCCAGTATCTTGCCAGATGTTTTAGCCACGAATGTGAAAAGTTTCACGGCGTCCGTAGATAAAAACAGATGAAACGCGTATCGTTATTTTCGCGATAGCCGATTTGCGCGCGTTATTTCATTTTTACGCCGCCTAGTTTACTTCAAAATAGCTTTGCAGCGAAGAAACTTTTTTACTATCAACCCCACAAATGATAGATTAAAAAAAAAACCGCTCCTCGGTTACGTGTTAATATTCCCACGATCCTTAGGCACTGTGCATATTCGGTCTTACAGCAGAAAACAATGTCCTTACGGCGCCTCTGTTGTTGTTGATGGTGAAGCGAACAATAGAGGAGGCAATTTCTGCTGCACACCTGTGTTGATAAAGGATGTTTGAGTAACGCTTGAGTAAAGCCATTATTTTGAAGTGTAAGATAGCTAGCGAATTTGGCGCCTGGAATAGGATTGTTCATTTCGTTTGTTATTCAGAAATCGGAAGCGCAAACGTTTTATCAACTTTCGACTTTCCATAACGATGCTTCTGGGAGAAGTAAGTGAACAGTTACTAACGGAAACATGTGTCGCGCGCACAGATATTTGCGCGACAGAACAAGTTTTACACGGTGGTAGCAAACTCCGCATAATTCTTTTCTGTGATGTCACCGGTGAACTCATGTGTATTAATTATTGCGGAGGAGTGGCAGATGATTTGGAAGGATGCAAAGAGAACAATAGCCGTAATATGTTCACCGACAGGAAACAATCAACAAATCGTGATATTTAATCAGAGCGTTTACAGCGGTGCGTTCAAAACTTGTTGAAGCTCGACTCGCGAAGGACTTTGTTGGAGAGAGTACTTTTTTTTCTCTTTTACGCGAAGGAAACATCGAAAAGACATGGCTATCAAGATGCAAGACGGTGTGAAGTATATCAAAGAGATGAATGCCAAGGCTAATGATATGGACCACGAAGGATTTGAAAGTTTGGAGCACGTTGAACGGGCTTTCAGAGCACTACGTGAACTTTTACCGCAAAACGAGAAAGGCCAAGATCTCTCAGAACTTGAAGTCCTCAAACTCGCAATGGAGTATATTCATGATTTGGAGGAGATTTTACACTTCGAAAGCGGCAGCACCTTTCAGTGAGATATTCAAGACGAAGAGGGAGAGTTGAGCAACTCGTGACAAACATTTCTCAGTTTACACGGGTACAATATCTGCCTTGATAGATTCTTGAACATAATTTCTGGGCCCATTCCAGAGAAAGAAAAATTTTTAAGATGCTATTAGCGAAGGTCACTCGATCGTGTCTTAGAGAAAAGTTTCTAGGTTTAAAACTTGAAAGATTGAAATTTGAAACAAGGTCAGAGGAAAGAAAACAAGTTGAAAATTCTTGAAGACACCTCACGAATGCCAATTACTGCGCCTAATTACCATGACAGCGACGACGTGCGGAAAGGAAAGTTAAATTTAAACCCGCTGTCCATGCTAGCGCACCATGAGCGAACAAGGATTCCGTAAATAGAGACTTAAATTTGCATCCAGTTTTATGGACGAAAAATATTGTTTAAATAATTTCTTATATACTGTGTATATTTTTTGTAAAGCGTAGCGCAGATTGTGTAGCCCTCGAGCGCTTCCAGTGTGGGAAAATATCAGAACTGAAGCCAACTCTGAAAGCAGCGCTTAAGAGATTAAATCTCTCGCTAAGTTAGGAGTGCACACATGATGATTTGGATGTGTCAAAAGAAATCAGGATTTCTTATTGAATTAAGCAGATAATGTATTTTTTAGTGTTAGAATTGTTAATTGCAGGAAGTATATCGAATAAATGATAACTTTATTTTTTATATACCAAGGTGTGCTTCCTTTCGCTCGTAAATTCGGCACGGTGCGGGGACTTGAATCAATTTGCCATCCGAATAAATGCACTTCAACTTGGGGTTTATCTTGTCCCGAGAATGAAAACAATTGGCGCCAATTCCATTCTTTCGGAGATCTTCGGAGTATAAAAATTCGGTCAAAAAAATTTGAAAGTAAAACAGATGGATTTTCTGTTTCCTGTACTTTCTGGAAAAAACGCGTCAAGACCTCGTAGCTGTAGGGGAAATATAATTCGATCTAAAGTATTTTGAATTAGCTCTCAGGAATTAAGCGGAGTATTAAGGTTGGCTGCATACTGGTGTCAGATATTCATCTGAAATGTTGTCAGATGTAGCGCAGCGTGGCTAACTGAAGCAGCTGGGAGAGGGAGACCTGAAGGCGGGAAATTACAACAGTGACACTGTCCGTTGTAAACAAGCTCGTCAGAATGCCATATGGTTGCAGTTATAGGCATATTTAGCATACATTAAGAATGTCACATTGAGAGTAGATTTCCGAAGAAATGTTTCGCAGCGATGGAAGTTAAATCATTACTATAAAGCTCTTCTTCTTGCCCCTATATCAACTACCTTCATCATTTGCTGATAAGAGTAGGTCGTTTTGAATCTGTTTGCGTTTAGACCTAATGAATTATAAAGTCTCTTGTCAAAAAAGGTAACGATCTTTGCCATGATGACGTCACCATGACTTCATTTAATATTCTAGTCACGAAACTTCGTAAAAACCATCTGTGGCCGAAAGAATCTAGAATTGTCTTCTTCCAATCCTTTCCGGTGTCATCTTGCTGAGTGAGTATCATTTGCGGTTTCTTCTTTCACAAATTGTTTGGCCGCCAGCGAAATTCCAAAGCAATTACGGAACATGCTTGGTGCTAGTAAATATTCTACCTGAATGTAGCACACTTCACCTCTCAGAAGACCAGGTGTTCTGCGTGTTTTCCGGTGCAAAAAACCTGTTGTTCCTTCTGTTACTAAAAACGCATTATCTCTTTCTTCGATGAATAGAAATGCTTGAATTAATGTGTGATGAGCACGAGCCCGCCAGTTCTAACAATGTATGCTCTGTTACAAATACCTTAATAAAACAGGTACTTGGGCCAGTATGTGTCGGTTTTGATTTATTTTCTTTCACGCCAGCTCACCGAGTTTTCTGGATTCTCTGTAGTGCATACCGTCGATATAATAAAGGACACGTAAGCTTTAAATATGCGAAAAGATAAGCCTTTCTCGATAGGAAATAAAAGATAGTCTTCGCAAATATCAATGCTGACATCATAGTGAAACTAAACGATTACTCAATGGAGGTTGAGTGTTCGAGTGTGTGTGAGTGTGTGGTTTTTTTTTAATTTGATTAACTGACCGTAAGGCTGCGTAACTATCATGACAATTAATATCAGAGATGAGCTGCGCCATGCTGATTCTCAGTGGCTAAAAATAGGTTATCATGTGAAGAGTACTCGAATGTAGTTTAATTCTGCTACCTGAAATCTTCTAAATTGTGAACGTGAAATGTAGTTGTTTATTTAGAGTCGTAGAGCTTGAAATTTAGCGTGAAAAATACCATAAAGGAATTGATATTACTATGTTTGGTTCAAACGCTAATCTGTCTGTTTTAATTATTCCGGTTCTCAAAGAGGGTAGGGTCGTACATTGAATTAGGCCCGTCATTTTGAAGTTGTTAACAGTAAGTGAAAGCAATAAATCACCATTAATCTTGTAATGAAATATGAATGTCATTTTTCTTAAGTGACTTTTCAAGTTAATGAACATGGCTAAAAAAAGAAGTATCTACAGCGCACCTTTTAGACTGAATAAAAGAAACGTGCTTCATTTTACTTATCACGCGCCGAGAACAAGTTTGGAGAGAAAACGGTTACATGGTTTCTGAAACAAAGTTTACACTTTTAAAACGAACAGGTTATTTTTTAAACAAAATAGCTTTGTTCTTCAACAGCTTTAGTTTCCGGCAATGATTTGTGTACTTTCGTGTGTGTATTTCTCTCTGAAAAGATAGAGTCAGTTTTTTGGGGGTTTAAACGTCGCTGTAAAGCTGTCGGTAATGGCCACACGAAGGGGCAAGGTAATGATTTTGCTTTGGCAAGGAAAGACATCAATATTCTTGTTTGCATACTGTGTACATTCTTTCACTTGATTACAAAGAAATCGCACATAACAAATCTTCTACAACCTTCACCCGCGTGGTGCTATTTCAGGTGGCCGTATTGTTTGGATTACTAAGAAGAATTCCATCGCTTCCTGTTGTTATCGCCCAGGCAACACGAGTATTTTCTTTGTTCAACATGTTATCGGCACGCTGGGTTAATGTGTGATTGGTATATTTTCAGAGTCTGCCCTTGAAATCCATAGTACGCGACAATAATATCTTGATGTACACGTGGATATCTGGTCTAATGAAATCTATCCCCTCCCATGGTGCGCGCTGAAATTCCCTGTCTGGTTGTAGCAACTTTACTCAGGAACTTAATTGGTTTGTGTACGACTCCATCGCTCGATTCAATGATTACCAATTTCCTATTTTCATAAAATCGAAGTGATGTGGTTTTTACTCTTCATCGTCCATTTCATTTCTACCTTTATTCCATAATATCAATTGTTTTATAAAATTGCCCTGCTTAAAAAATAACAAGCAGCCTCGCATGCAATTTCTGATGTCAGTAAGTTCAGTTGTCTTTTTTGTTTCAATGTTTGATTTTAAACATGTTAATATTCTTCAGCACTGGACCCTGCAGCAAATCACGTAAAACGTAAAAACAACGAAAGACTCAGGTTTCTTCGCTAATTATAGAGGGACGATTCTGCGTTTTTCATTTGAAGTTTTTCACTGATACTTCTAACTATACCGTTTATTAGCGCTTTAACCACGAGCAATGAAACTTATGTGAATATTCAACAAGTTTCTCACGGAACTTGTCAGTAAGGAAGACTCTAGGGACGAAAATGAGGTCTCAGAGTAGAACTTTTGAAATATTTAGACATCAATTATTTGGTTTTCCAGCCAGACTTTGCAACTGATCAAAACAAACTTCATTGAACGTGCAGCAACCTGTTAACTTCAGATATCTTTTTCATGGTTTATCTGACTCCTCCAGCCAATCAAATTGCCAGAAAACCATTCCTACCCCAGTGGGGGAAGACGGAAGGGAAGCAAATGCACGTGAACTGCATGTGTGCGATCTTTCCCCGCCTTTCCATGAGTTCACGAAAAAAAGATTTGGCCAAATGAAAGCTTTTTTCGACGAAACTTCACCAAAGTCTCTTACCCGTTCCTTCATACAAGGAATAGAAAAAAATTAGATAAAATAAAAGAAGTGAGGTAGTTGAACTCTTAGGATCTTTTGTTTGCGATAAATTTTTCATTGCAGGAGGTCTCACAACTCAGTTTCTAATCGTTGCCAGTCTCTCCTTTGAATGTCACGCAGCGCGTCGCGTGACACCCCAAAGAAAACTTGCTTCATGACTAACCTGTTACCGGAAATTGTTTTTCAGAGGGGGTCGTAAAAATCCACAAAGCGAGACAGGCTCTGCGGCAAAGGGCACTTTTCATAGGTTTTTATAGTCCCTCTTCTGTTCATTTCAACTAAAAGTTGGAAGATAAAGATTTTAGTGAAAAAAAACCTCTTACAGTCACGTGGAGACTATTCCAGAAGGCTATGGGTACTAGAAGGACTAATTTAATTATAAAACGCCTGGGGGATTTTTGCGGTTCTGATACATTCTTTAGACTAAGCGTCGCATTCTGCTCTATTTTTGAGGATATTCGAGGATTTTACCATGCCAGAAGGACCAGAACTTTACAAAAACAGCCAATTCGTGAACAAAGTCTGCAAAGGACTCGTTTTCAGTGGCAAGATTGTGAAGTCAGCTGTTAGCACTAAAAACCCCGATGTCTCCTTTCCCGCCATGTGTGATTATTGCATAACTTCAGAGTCTAGAGGTAAAGAAACTGCGCTGATTTTGACATCATTAGGCTATGATGGCAATGGAAAACAAATCAAACAAGAGAACGATTGCGAAAAGCAAAGACTCAGGATTCTTTTTCGATTTGGAATGTCTGGAAAGTTTACGTTTGGTGCAGTAAAGGACATGCACAAACATGCGCACTTAAACTTCTTTACTAAGGAGAAACCAGTCATGGTGTTGAGTTTTGTAGATGTTAGAAGGTATGTTGGTTTAGTTTAGTTAATAGGTTAACTGTTGGTTTTTTTTCTCTGGGATGCAATGGGTCGTAGAGATACTACCTCAGCTGCCAAGGAAAGTAAATTTAGCACCTCTTCATTTGACCCCCAAAATGGAGCTGGCTCAGCTATAAGCTCCGCAGAGTACGATGCAACGCGACAAGTTCCTCTGCATGCTGAACTATGTTAAGTTGCATGCATCCCTCGCAATACAATTAGGAGTCTTGAACTGTTGCAGTACTGTGTCTAATTTTTTTCAGCTGCTGTGTTCAATTCTATAATTATGACAAAAGCAATAAGAGCTTGAAAATGAGGGTTTGTGTGCACACCTATTGTATGCAGTACTCTGCAGTTTGGCTTGCTATCAATAAAAAAATCTTGCCTTCAATTCATCAGAGAAATTTCAGCCTTGTTAGAGAGGTGAGATGTCAGCAGATTTCTTCCCTTTTGATATCATGAACTATCCTTTGGGTGAGGCTGAAAAGTAGCATCTCCTTGGGGTTACTAAGCAAGTAAAAGTTTTTACTTTTTAAGTAAAGTTACTTCATAATAGACCTGGCTCATGGTGGAGTCTCTGTGGCTCAGTGGTAGAGCATCAGAGTGTGGAATCCAAAGGTCTAAGGTTTGATTTCTCATGGGGACTCAGAATTTTTTCCTTATCCCATGCTTGTGACAAGCCAAAAAAATGTCTTTCTCAATTTTCTTATTGTTTAGATTTGGTCGATGGGAAGTGACAGATGAATGGTCAAACAACAGAGGACCTGATCCAATGTTTGAATACCAAGAGTTTAGATCAAACATTCTTGATAATCTACAAGAAACAGTATTCAACAAACCACTATGTGAAGTAATGCACAATCAGAAGTACTTTAACGGAATTGGGAACTATCTTAGAGCTGAGATCATTTTTAGGTAAGAACCTATTATTTCAAAGAGTCACTGTGTTCCTTTGAAACATTGTTAGCCAACTGGACTTGAGATTGGAATGTGAAATGTTGAACCTTTGTAAAGGTTATTACAATGTGTTCCCTGACACAGTGCCCATCCTCACCAATAACGACAAAATTATTGATGCATTGCTGTCGAAATTGCAATATTCTGGAAAAGCATTTAAATTAATTCCTGATATCCTTGCTTTCACTCCTAATTTCCCCCTTGTGAAGCTGTGTTTTGTTTTCTGTGATTGTGCAACTTTGAATGAGGGAAATTAACAGAGA